ACAGTTTATATATATATATATATATATATATATATATATATATATATATATCATGGACAAATGGGTTAGTAATCGTGCTGTGTATGTCCTCCAGCATATGTCATCACAATCAGGCATCACAAGTATATGAGCAACCGCCCACCAATCCCCAACTCCTCCACTTATTTCTCCCCTTGGTGTCATCCTAAACCCATTAAAATGGGCTTCACTAACACTCAGACACGCACACACAAACTTAAGAAATCACAGGCTTCACAAGCCTCATTGGCTGTTGCCATGGGGACACTGATGTGGCTGTCTCTGTAAGCTGAGTTACACTGACCCAGTCTTGGCAAAGGGAGACGCATTGCAGTATTTCTGCAAGAGGGAGGGATGGCTTATGCTGCATGACAGTATGCACGCATCATCACATAGTAGAGGAACTGAGCACCAGCAGCAGTATCACATCGATGCAGTCGCGTCTAATGAGAGCTATATTTAGTGTGAGAGATTTTTGCTGCTTCTTTCCACAAAAAAAATAAAAAAAAATGACATGCTTCATTATTTGCATTTAATTTGATGAAACCTTCCATTAAAATGGTCGGAAAGAGAAATATTGTGTAAAACAATGAACAGCCATTGTTCAGCACAATGTTTGATGAGTAAACAAAGGGCGGTCCAATTTGTATTTGTACAGAGATGGTTCTCTGCGGCGTACTAAAAATCACAGTTTGCGCAGCTGCTAATCAAATTGTGAGAGGGTGACAGTTGATTGTTTTAACCAACCTGAAAAGGCACAGGCACATAATCACAGCGAGTCAACAACCACATCCACCCTTTTAATAAGGTTCAAGCCCATGTGATGCTACAGCATATGGATCAGTGTCAAATGTTATGCGACATTAGTCTTTATTACAGTCATCAAAGAGATTGTACTGTACATTAAATTCCAAATGAAGCTAGAACAGTGCTTTCACTTGAACCTGGCCCATAATTTGACAAAATCAAAGTCAAAACTGAAGCTGTATGTTGCCAACACTAATGTCAATAAAACTGCAAAACCTTTATTTGTCTTACGAAGCAGAAATTCCCAATTTACAGCAGCAAAATTATGAAAGGGAGAAGTAGAAGAACAAAATTTACAGCTTTTTTTTTCTGTTTCAGCTTTTATGTATAATTTATTAAATACCATGTCTTGGTCCTAAATTTCTTTTCTATCGATCCATTTTCAACACCGCTTATCCTGAACAGGGTTGCGGGTGGGTGCTGGAGCCTATAATAATCGAAGTGGCGAGTAATCCCTCGCCACTTCGCTTTTCGTGTTTCTGTGAGGCCAACGTGCTAACCATTTGCCCACAGTGCCGCCTGACACATTACAATAAATAATAAATCTCAATCAGGTTTAAGGATACAGTATTTCAAGCGAGTTACTGGCGTACTCAA